ATATAATTTTTATATTAATTTAATCAAATTTTATATAGTAAAATTTAAGAAGTAATAATTAAAAAAAGTTTATTATTAGTAAAAAATTTTTAAATTTAAATAAATTCTAATATTTAATTACTTAATTAAATAAAATAGAATTAAAATTTTATTTTAAAAAAATAATCTATTAATATTTAATTGGAATATAAATCTTTTTGTACCAATTTATAATAATTAATATTTTCTTATAAGAATTTACTTTTATATAAAATTTTTTATAGAATGATATAACTATTAAAAATTTTTATATTAATAATTAACTTATTTAAATTATAAAAAAATCTCTTTATTTTTTATAATTATTTTTTTCAAGTTTTTTAATTATTAATTAATTATAATTAAAAAATTTTATTTCTTTATAATTATTTAATTTGCTTTTTCAAATATAATAACTATAGAGAAATTTACTATATTTAAAATCAAATTATTTAATATAAACTCAAAAATTACTATTATAAATAATAAGTATTATTTGTTTATTATTTGATTTTAATTTATATTATTGTAATTATTATTTTAAAAAAGAATATTTTAATTATAAATTATATAATTTAATTATTCATTAGTTATTTTAATTTTTATTTAATTTGTTATTTGTTTTAAACTAGAGTATAATCATATTTCTCTATAATTATATTTTTTATATTATATTTTTCATAGTTATTCTTTTAAATTTTCCAGTTGTTAATTAATTATAATTATAAAAATCTCTTTATAATCATCCAATTTGATTTTTTCAAGTACAGTAAATATAAAGAGATTTGAATATATTTCTATTATAAAGTAATATAACTTGTTATTATTAATTTTCTTTTTTGTTTTTCTATTATTTTAATATTATTTCTATTTATTTTTTATTTCTTTAATATATAATTTTAATAAAAAATCTTAATTTTTAAAAGATAGTAGAATCTTCAATAAATTTATAGAAATTATTTATAATATTTATTAAGTATTGATATATAAAAATAAAATATTAATTATGAATCGGTGCAAAAGATTTGCATCTCAAAATAAAATTTTAATATTTGTTCTATAAAGTTATTCAAATTTAACTAATTTTTTATACTAATGCTAAGTAAAGAATGATCTAGATTAACTTTTTATTATTCTATTGTGCTTTAATCAATAATAAACAAAGCAGAATTTTTCTAAAAAAAAATATATTTTAAGTATTATTGCAATATTAGAACTTCAAATTACACAAGAGATTTGTCTTATATTTGATTAAAAATATTATAAGAATTAAATTAGTAGTTATAAAGAAATTAAGTTTCAAAGTTTAACAATTAAATTATTTACTATATATATTTTATATTAATTTAAATGTACTGTCAAGGTACGCTCAGAATATTCCCAAAACTCGGTCCTCAACTTTTCGTCGTTAGTCAGCGGATTTCCTTTTGCCATTTTTCCATTTCTAAAAAATTTTCCTGCGTTTTGTTGCACATCGTCTAACAATGATGGTTTCAATACATTGTATGATGCGGTCTCGGTTGATGCACCAAAATTTGAAAAGACAAAGTTTTTCCATTTTCCTAATAGGCCGGGAAAATCTCCGATTGTTGTGGCGATAAATCCTGGGCACATCGCGAGCGAAACGACATCTGAATTTGTTAACGAAAATTAGTTATGAGAGTTAAGAATTAATTTTATATTCTGAAAAAATAACTTGCTTGTTCCTGCCAAACGCTTATTAAGCTCATTGCTAAACATATGGTTCATTAATTTCGAATTTCTATACAATTCAAGAGTTTTGTTCGACTTCTTTCCGTCAATATTTTCATAATCAATTACTCCATTAAATGATTCGAATGAGGAAAGATTAATAACACGCGCTGGGAATTCTTTAGTTCCGGATTCTTTCAACGTATCGAGTAAAGTTTTGGTAAGCAAGAAGTGACCAAGATAATTAACCTATTTACGAATCAAATTTGTTAAATTACAAGCATAGAAAGACAAATAATTTGAATTTATTCTTATTTGATTAATACCTGGAAATGTGTCTCAAGTCCGTCTTTGGTATATAATAAGTCATATAATGCGACACCTATTAATGAATAATATATTACAACACAAATATATGTAATAAATAAAATTTTATTGAGGGGGAATACTACTTACCAGCATTATTGATCAAGATATGTACTTGACCTATTTCATTAACAACTTGTTTCGCAAAAGAACGAACGCTATCCAAATCAGCTAAATCCAAATCCCATAACTCAGCATTATTAACACCGTTTTTCTCTTTAATATATTCTAATGTGGCCTGGCCTTTTGTCCGATTACGAATAGGAAGGATCAAACGTTTTGGATTGTACGATGAGATGTATTTAGCAAGTTCCTTACCGATTCCTGTTCATATATAAAGAATTGAAAATGAACGTTCAGCTCTGAGATTATAAAACTATTTTTTAAACATGGATTAAAGAGTACCGTCACTTGCTCCGGTTATGATCACGACTTTTCCATTCAAATCGATGCCTTTGAGCTTTGCTATTTCTCTATTATTATGATGGAACATTTGTTTTAGATAATTCATTTTCTAGAGTTTTGTATAGGTGAATACTAATAATATTTTGAAATGTATTAAAAGGTACATGTAGTTGCTTTTCTTTTATAATGAAACGACTTCAAAGTTCTTTAAATACCTTTCGCAGCTATTATCATCTCTTTTTGAAAATTACATAATTTCCGAACAAAAGAATTCTTTATGGAAAATCTCCATACGTCTTGCGACAGAAACCAATCACTATGTATGGAACCTAATTTGGTAAATCCGAAAATTACTGATGCCTATCTTAATTTATGCAATGTGACCAATAACGATACCATAGTTTTTTTTTTAGCTACAAAATACAGGTACATGTAAATCGAAAACTAAAAGTTCTTTAATTGAAAATATTTTTTTTACACAAAAAGATAGGTTATTTACATTGTTAAATGATTACACGATTCAACATTTTATAACAAATTTAAAACAAGGCATTTAAAAGTTCGGGTTTACTCAACAAGTATCACTCAAATCACCGTTATTGCATGTGTTCACTTGTTTTGTTTGTTAGATGCTACGTTTCTCTTTTCAAGTATTATATATACAATCTCACCTGGGTATAATGATAATTGGCATTGTCAATGTAATCATAAATTTCCAATATTTCGAATATAACTCGAAAATGTTTCATATCCCATTCTCTTATATAATGATCATCCGACAAGTTGCCGCATAAGCATACGAATAAAGAAGATTCAAATGACATTCATTAATTCAATTTGGAAAAAGGCCGATCATTGCTCAAGTAAATAAATGATTCTGTTGAAAATATATGTCATAGTCGTCCTCTTCCTAGATTAGAACTAGTTATTAAACTTTTGAATGAAGCATTTTACAGTTATCAATCATAAGTTTATACTTTGTTCTTTTCATCATAACGACTATCATATGAAACTGCTAAAAACCTTCAATATAGTAAAGAACTGAGTTTTTAAATATGAACTTTATTCTATCAAGAGATTTTAATATAGATTATTAATAAAAAAAGAGCATGATCTGATAATAAGACTCACTTGTATTTTTTATATATTACTTTAATTACTAAAATATTTCTTTGAAAGTTCTTAAATAGTAATATTAAATAATTCTTTTTTCAGTGTATTTTTAAAGGATAAATAATAAATTTCATTATAAATATATTTTGGTGTATTTGTAAAAAAATAATTAATTATAATATTTTATAATAGTATTCAAAATCTAAAACTAAAGCTCCGTTCGGGTCGGTTCGGATCGCGTTTGAGGACAACCCGGTCCGAACCAAAATTTTCGGTTCGGGTCGGAATTGACCGGATCGGATTCAATCCAAAGCCGAAACGATCCGGAAAGATAATATTCGGATCGTGTCGGGTTTCAGATTGATCCGAAAATTAAATACATGTACGTGTTCATAGACGAACTGAACGTTAAATATTAAAATATTTTGTTGGCACATGTGATGATAGACATACATGTAAAATGCACAGAAAATGATCGTTGCAATAAATGTTAAAGTTGAATTATTTGATGAAGATGAGGTATTCTGATTTTACAAAGAAATTCTACCTATATACTGATATCTCTGATTTTAGACTTGATGCAGTATTATCTCAAAAAGATAATGAAGGAAGAAAACAAGTTGTAGCTTATGCAAGCATTTCACTTAAACCAACTAAAAAGAATTATAGTATTACTAAAAAAGAAACTTTGGCTATAGTCTCAATTTTAATATTATTTTCTTGAATCTCTTTTTGAAATTATCATTGATTATAATACATTTTGATAGCTTTTTACTAAATAAGTTAATCCTGGATCTAGAATCTCTCATTAGATAATGATTATGATGAAATATACTTTATTATTACTTATAGAGCTGGAAAAATTAATTAAAATACTAATACTCTCTCAAGAATATATTCAAAAGAGTAGAAAGACAAAAACTTAACTAATTAACAAATTATTTAAAATAATATTTACTGAACAATTAATTAAATAGATTATTCAAATCTAATTAACTCAATATAATGAATTTAATTATATATTATAACTTAATGAGATATCTAGAAGATAAAAATTATTCTGTAGAATATACTAAAGAATAATAAAAGAAAATTTAAAATATTTTTTTACTAATTAATAGAATATTTTACAAAAAGAATAGGAGAAAAGAACCTATTATATCACTTTGAATCTTAAAAGAAAATAAAATTAAAGCAGTAATAACTAGCATATATTCAGATTTACTTGCTAAACACTTTGAATTTGATAGAACTTATTAATAAATAGCTATAAAGAAGTTTATTAGATTCTGTGAAACTTATCAAAGAACTGTTAAACAAATTATAAAACAACTTCTATATTTTATTAAAGTTAGATAATCTTTTGATAGAATTATAATTAATTTAATTAAATCTTGCAAAGCAATCAAGAAATAAAATCAGTATATTATTATAGAGAAATATGATTATACTCTAGTTTAAAACAAATAACAAATTAAATAAAAATTAAAATAACTAATGAATAA